AACTAGGTTGTTTCCTGCAGTTATCAGAATGTCTGGTTTGGCTTGTGCTGAAATTTCAGTTCTGTATTGAATAAATAGGAAGGCAGAAGTTCATCAGTAGTCCAGTTTCCCATTTTTTTGTAGCAAGAGGACCACCAAGAAACAAAATTTATGGAAATACTCTGCCCATAACACCAAGGGTGTTTATGCATTTTAAACTTGTAAAGTATTGTGGTTTTTCTTTTTTTCATTATTTGTGATTTGATTTTTTACACTTTTTTGAAAGCAAAATAACTTTTTTTTGTGCATGTGTGTTTAGCCTAAAATTTACAGTGGTCAGTGATCCTCCAGAAGATGAGCAGGATCTTGAATGTGAGGATATTGGGTTTGCTTATGTCAGTTTAAAAGAGATATTCCAGAAGCAAAGAGATATCATTGAGCAAGATATTGATGGTAAGTTTTAAAAATCGCTTTCTTGTAAACTTCTGTAGCCTAAAATTCATTGAATTTCTACTTTGCTTTGCAGGCGTTACTGTGCAAGTAATTGTTTCAATAAGAAATTCGTTAATACTAACAAATAACTTCCACATTTGTTTGCAAAAGTCTGCAAAAACTATCTATTAGTATTATTCCCTAAAGTTTTTTAAAAAAACCCCAAACCAAAGAGCATTCTCACCTCATAGAAATTGGTTTATAAAACCTAAGAACTTTCAAGCTATGTCCACTGCTATAATTCTGTCTTTTCTACAACATGCTTCATTGCGGTAGGACAATAAATATGTACTCTGTATAAAAATTTGTTTTGCATTAAAATTTTCATCAACAATTTGGTATTACTAACGTCTATATTTTATTTGAAATTACCTTATAGCCCCGAGTACCTCAGGCTTGTTTCCTCCATTTTGTTTCCTCCATATGAAACGTGTATGAGACAATGTGAAATACTGGTGGTTTTGATTAGGAATCAGTTTTAGTGTGCACCCTTCTGTAACAGACTGACCAAACTCATTGTGACTCATTAGAACAAGGTGATGTGATTAGGAAATGTGGAATCTTCCATTTCCTGAGGTCATAGGATGCATTTTTATGACGTTGATAAGAAGACTTAAGAAAGCTTTTTGGTCCTTTTGTCAATTATGAGGATAATATTCTCCTTGCTCAGTTTCCTGTTCCCCATGGCAGCAGAGACACAGGGTGCACTTTTCTCTTTACTATTTCTTCTCAATCCTCTTTCCCCCTTGAGGTGAAGCTCAGTGAAGAAGCTGAAAGCACCTCTTTTATAAAAGAGTCACTCCCCTTTCCCAGTAAGTGAACTAGTTCAATGATTGGGTGCAGAGCATCCATGTTCACAAGGTGCCTTTTGCAATAGCAAGAGTTCTGGTGAGCCCCAGGAAAATGCCAGGGAAATGTAATTTTACTGCTTCTACTGTTGTGTCTAATTCCTGTACTTGAGCAGTGGGGAGCTGAGTAATGAGGGAAAGAAATAGGCTTTCTTATCCATTCCCATTATCATGCATGATTTGCATCCACGCTGTTGCTGTAATACTCAAATTTACAGGAATGCAATAAGGAAAATTCTAAGAATCATCAAATTTCCATACTCTGGAAGAACAATATACAGACTTGATGTATTTCCTGCTGTGGCTGAGGAACTTAAGCTTTTCTCCACCAATAATTTTGTACAAGTACAAAAGCTCCTCCAAAAATTTATTTTGTAATCTCTCACTGGAAGATTGATTTTTGTTCTGGAATTTGTGACCATACCTCCCACTGTCACAATTCCTATTTGATAAGATTGATTAGTGAGGTAGACATAATTCTTGAAAGTCACTTTTCACAAAACTCTTAAAATTCCTAATCATCATCTGAGAGAATTATTAGGACCAGAAGGACTGAATTTTATTACTAGCTTCTGTAAGCTAATCATTTCCATGTAATGACAATTACTGCAATATTGTGAGGAGCATTTCTTCCCCTAATCGTCAGACTAATTTAAACTAATTTTTACTTTATGTTAATTATATATATGAAAATTACAATAATAGCTAGAAATACTTTTATTCTTTTTCCCTTCTGCATTTCTGCCCTTTCCTGCATATGCTGTACAGTTTTTTGGGGATTTTCATTGCATCCATAGCGTATAAACTTTTATATTTTCTGAAAATTAAGATGTTTCAGAAAATTTTAATTAATTTTATGTTAAAATATATCAGATCATGGCAAAATAATGTATATGTATATTTTCTTAGATGAAGTAATTGTAAAAGGATCAATTCTTCAGATCTTAACACAAATGTCAATTAAATGTAAGGGCACAATAAACAGAATTGCTTAGTGTTGTACACATTCTCTGAGTTGGATATTGGTTTAAGGAAAAATAATAAGCCTAGACACAGGGGAATTCATAGGACACTACTGCATGAAGATAAAGTCATTCTTAAGTTAGATACCAAACTTCCTTTATTCTTTTTGAGGATTGCAACCGTATATCTTTCTCATATTTTGTTCTTTCATTGCTGATTATGTCAAAGTGGTTTATGCGACATTTGAAGCAATTAAGTGAATGGCTAAGCAAGAAGATGGATGGAAAAATATGGTAGTCAAAACATCTAACAGTATCTCTCAGAGACAGGACAGTATAAAAAGTGAGAAAATAGAATTAGTGTTATCCTCTGATGTAATTAACTATAATTATCCTGCTCTTCTTGTATGTAAAAAGGATAGAGTCCCCTGAAGTCTGCTCTTGAAGTTGACAGTTCACTGAGTGATTTGTCGAGGCTGATTTGGACCTATCCCTCATACACAGTGTAGAAAAGGCATTAATTGGTGTATTTTTACTTAAAACTATTCCTATGTATGTAGATATATGTTTAATAGAATTTGGAAAATCTTTATTTACATATTGTGGAAAAATAATTATCCTATATAGACAATTATTATATTGATAGTTTCATTTCTAAATTAGTTTCAACACAAATACATTTATTGATGTATATTCTAGGTCTAGGAGTGGTTAATTTCCAGTAGCCTGAGGACCTGAACTGCAAAATAATTCATTTATTTCTCCCTTTTTTTTAGCATATGCTAGTTGCGCTTTAATCTGTCCAAACACTAAATGAAACTATGAAAACAAAAGTGAAATCTTAAGTTGAAAAGCTAATGCTGTTTTCTGATGTTTCCTTTCTAGTTTTCGATTCACAAGATGCCAGTGCAGTAATTGGAAAGCTCACAGTGACAGTGGAAGCCCTCAGTGCACTGCGTTCAGTCCATGAGGAATGCAGAAATGATTAGGAGGCAGGAAAGGGACATTTGCCTATTGAAGTTCTTGCTCCCAGTATAAAGATACATTTGATGGTTCATCAAAAATTAGATCTTTATCATTCTCACAATATACTTAATGTAAAATGTATATTAAAAAGATGCTTGATGTCCAGGTATAAAGTTTTGTACACTTTTCAGTCTGTTTTCTTTTTTTTAAGGTCCTTGCTGAATCATACTTCAGGGTCTCGACATTTGATAGTGTAAGAGTCTAACTTAGTTCCAACGAAGTTTGATTTCAAGTGCAAGCTTGCTTCTAAATTATCAGATACCAATTGAGGGTATTTTGTCTAAGGAAATAAGAGATGGTGAACCTTCAAACAGAAATGCTTGTAGATTGTTACTAGGAGTAGTTCTGTCACAATACTATGTCAGAATACAATCATTCCTGTTAGAAGTCACCTCGGGTAGTTTTTAGTCCAGTCACTGCAGGATTAGGTGTTATGTTAGGCCCTGTTGCTCAGGGCTTTATCCAGTCTGGTCTGAAAACTTCCAAGGACAGGTACTGCTTAACTGCTCTCTGCACAACTGTTCCAATGCCTCACTGTTCTCATAGTGAAAAAAGGAGATGCATTTTACACATTACTTCAATCCAGATTGAAGCCAAAGCTAGATCTAAGCACATGGAGCAGCCTTTTGCACTTAATGCACCATCTAATGATTTAATTTGTTGTTTGGTTTTTTTTTAATTCTAGGGGTGGCATGTTTATCATTTGTTTCAGCCATTTAACATTTTGCACAGAAATAAAAATAACAAAGCATTTTAGTGTTGATTTTCATGCTTTGCAATATGCCATCACATTTTGATCCAGTTTTGTAAAGCAGTTGATAAAAAATAGCTGTTATTATTATCAAAGTGGTTTGCTCAGGTAATGTTTCTGTAGATTTCGGTAGTAAACAATTTGTTATGGTTTATTCTTGGGTTCAGAGTTTTTTTAGTTAGGCTTAGATTATTTTAAGAGTAAGGACAGCTGCAACAGTGCAAGACAGGTCTTCCACACAATTAGCAATTATTTGTTTCACATTTTTGTGGAACTTTCATTCTTGTTAAATGCAGAATTATTTCCATATGTATTAAAAGTCGCAAGAACTGAACCATTGTTGAAAAAAATGTTGCAAAAATGTGGTCCTTCTACTGCTACAAAAAAAAAAAAATCAATAAAGTAAACTCTCTTTTGCTTGTTATAGACCAGTGGTTATTCTGATTACCTACTTGTAAGTACAAATAGCTACACAAGCTGACAGCCTTTGACTTCAGTGGTAATGAACAACCAAACTTCACCTTAACATGAGGAAGAACTTTTTTACATTAAGGGTGGCAGAGCAGTGGGACAGCTTCCCAGAGAGGTTGTGGAGTGTCCTGCAGAGACAGTCAAGACTAAAACCTACCTGGACACATTCCTGCGTCACCTCCAGGTGACCCTCCTTTGGTGGGGTGATTGGACTAGACGATCTCCAAAGCTCCTTTCCAACCACCAACTAACTATTCTGTGAATATATTTCAAATCAATGCCTTTAATTGAGGAAAGTAAAGGCAAGAGGTTGATGTAGCTGGGCCCATGAAATTTGCAGCTACTTAAAGGGCCATTGCAAGTACGGTGGAACCAGCCAGACTCCTTTCAGTTGTGGCAAACGGTGTAGAAGGGACACAAACGCCAGACCTTGCTGTTTCAGTGGGCTCTGGTAGGGTTTTAGGGAGAACTTGTTCCCCAGGGGGCTGGTGTGCTGGGAGGGGATGGGAAGGGGGACAACACGGAGGGTTCGGGTCCAGCTGGATTCCATGACCCTTCTGCCTCAGGATATTCTAAGTTTGTATGCATAATGCATTTCAAAAATACTAAGAATCTGGAACATTCCTTCTTTAATAAAGTTCAAAGATGAAAGCAAATATAATAATAAAAATATACAGTATTAAGATGTCTTTTTCTTGGGGTTTGGGTTTTTTTTTCCCCAGTTTTGGCCACACTGTCTTTGTCTCCTTTTATTATCTTCAGTACTAGTAATTGTCACAACTTTGCCATTTTCTCTTTCTTTCATCCTGCTTGGTGCACTTCACAGTCACTTGGATGTGGCAAATTCAGGGTAACTCCGTGCAGTCTTGATTCTGATAGGGAGAAAAGGATAAATCTGAAGGTACTGCTAATAAAGAAATTGTTAACCCATTGGACTCTGTACTGTATACTGCTATGCCAGAACATTGTACATTTAGAGAAATAGAAACTTGAGTTGTTTACATTGTGAAGAGGAAATTTTAAAGAACTTCATTTTGCATGCATCGTGACTTAATTAAAATACCAACAAACTATAAAATAACACAGAATGCTTGAGAGTAAAGCTATTTTATGACAACAAGAAGTATAGTTCAGAAAAGTAGACAACTTTTTCATGGCAAAGTTAGAACAGCAACAACCTAAGGCTAAATTGCCAGCTATTCCTCACATAAGGTAAACAAACATGGTATTCCTTGAATTTCTTCATTTCTATTTGATAAATATTTTTAACTGCAGTGCCTGTTGGTACTGTAAAGGCATCCACACTTGCAAGTTCTTCAAACCTGGTTTAACAAATTTTAAAGTCGATGTGGAACAAAGCATTCCAACAAGGACATTGAAAGATTCCCAAGTGAGCAACCTGCCAAGGTAAGGTGAGGTAGATTTGTTAAGGCATTCTAGTGATGAGATCACTTTCTGCTGAAGCTTGAACAAACTCATGTGAGACACTGCAATACCATCCTCTCTGGCAAGCAGAAAATGGGATGAAGTTGGTTGTGTGTGCTGGTGTACTGCCTCGTTACTGAGAAGTAGGTTCATCAGCAATCATGGAGGGTAAGATGGTGCATTTGAGCCTTCCAAAGGGAGTAGAGAAGATGGGCAAGTTCATACAAGTACCACTCTTCTCAGGGCACAGTGTGGGAAGATGGGAGGGCAGGCCCCCACCCCACAGATGGTCAATAGATGCTCTCCATTTTCCTGCTCAGACTGCAGCCAACAAGGGTAACTGATCCAGACTGCCCCCCTTCTACAGTTCCAAGGGCTGGCCAGTCCCCAGTCAGACTCGCAGGACTGTCCACAGTTGGTATCTCACGTTAAAGGCTGGCTTTCTTCAGTCCTATCAGTCCACAGACTTCATCAGACTCAGAAGCTTCATGATGTGTTTGGGGAGTAGGTTTGATGAACAGATTTCCACCTGAAGAGACCAGTTTCCTTGCTTTGTGGAATATCTCAGAAGAAATTTAGGGTGATAATGGTCTGATGCACCAGAGTCTTGTAGAGGGGAAGTGAAGTATGGGTTTTTATCATCTACTGCTGTGAAAGTAAATCATGAAGGAGAGACCTACACAGGCATGTGAACTTTTAGGCCAGAAACCCTCAAACTGTTGTTTCCCAAACTTGGGCATTGGTGATTCATTGAGTTTTAGATTAGGTTTTAGCACATTTTAAACTGCTGGGCATGTCTGAATTGAGAAGAAGAACTAAGAGGTCTCCCTATTAGCTATATGCGAAGAAGCTGTTGCTTGCTTGGTTGTAGTCCAATGAGGTCAACTTGTCCCACCATTTGAAACACAGTGCAGGAGAGAGTTTCACAGATTTCACAGTCTTTAGCTTTCTTAAGCTATATACCTTTAAGATATTCTTGCAGGAAGAAAATAGTTTGGTAGATTCCTGTTATTAGAGGATCCTGAAGTGTCCTAATACTGTGCTTATAGCACATTTTGAGACCTAAAGCATGCACTGGATTTTGCAGAAATGCAAAATGCATTCAGCTTCATAAAAACGCTCCCAAATTTTTTAACTTCTAGCACTAACTCCCCACCTCTTGAAAGCCAGGGTGATCATGAAGTAAACTGTTGTTCACTGGCAAAGGGGTAACAGGAAATGGAGAATTTCCAGAAAGCTCTTGATGCCTAAAGAAAAAACAAGCCAATGTACAGAGGCTGAATGTCCACCACATATTGCTGATCAGAGTACTGAGACTTGACTTAACTTTTGGGCTGCAATGGGAATATCCAAGAGGACAACTGAGATACTAGCAACAGGACTTACATGAAAAATAAAGATAAAACAAATGAAATATACCCAAATGCTTAATTAATGAGCAATCCTCTTATGTGCATGGACAAAAGGGTACTAGATTTCACCATGGGAGTTCAGCTTAAATACTGAATCTGGGGTGTTCAGACGTCCATTATAACAGGTTTATAACTGTGCATTCATATGTATATGACAGCTGCTTGTGCCGATAGACACAAAAAAATGCAGGTGTAAACTTGGTGGGGTTAAAAAAATACTTGTCAGATTTTGTTCCCCAACAACTGAAAACATTGTTAGTACAAAACCCAGGGTTCAGTATGTTCTCATGGTCCTGAATATTGCAGAAACAAATAAAGTATGGAAAATTGAATCTAACTAATCATCTGGTAAGCTTAACAACCAAACATTAAAATTAACTGCAGCCTGTTCCCTCAGTAAGGATGCAATGACAAGATGCTGTTTTGATGAAAAACCTCGAAATTGCTCTACCACATCAACTCACTTTCTTTATATGATTTTTTTTAAATTATGATCATAAGGTTCATTCACAGGTGATCTCTGTTACCTTTCTGCAAGAGACTCTAAGTCAATATGGTGTTCAAAACCATCTGCACAACTGTCTAGTTCTGGTGAGGGAGAGCTCCCTGGAAAAAAGACAAGAGCATAATGACTATTCAGTTATGACAATTCAATTAACCAGATAAAAACCACAGAAAGTCTTTTGTGTCATCTGTAGTCTGCTAGCAGATCTAAAGTAGTATACAAAAGTATGGTGCCATTTTATGGCAGATAATCAATAGCATCTTACAGCTTGAAAATGTTCATTTCTCATTTATTCACTTACAGAAGCACAAATCAGGGTTGTTGAAGTATACAAGAACAATATCATCACCCAGTTACAGACACAGGAGATGCTTCTGATTTTAAGAACCACAGATATTCTGCTTAAACCCAGCCAACTGCTCTGTAGAGCCTTTGAAAGAAGCAGTGGCAGAGAAGGAACGAGTCCTTAATGTCTGGGTTGCAAACGATGCCTGATTGTTGGCTTGCTCGAAGGTTTATATACATATATAATACATACATATATGTACATATTTTGTATACATACTATATATATATTCTATACATAGTTTATATACATATTTTATGTAAATAAAATTAAGAATATAATATATTCTTTGAACTACAACCTCTTCCCTTGAAAACAAAAGCACTGATAACTCTGTGGCTTTAGTCTACAAATTATCCAAGAGCTCAACAGTGGCTGGCCATACTGAATAATTTTTTTCTGTCAGACTGCAAGGTAAAGTTACACCCCAATTCCTAAATGTAATCTGGCATGAAGACCTGGATTGCTATTTTCCATACAACAGTGTCTGACACAGCTTGCAAGTTATGATGTTCTGAAACAATATATTGTATTCTCTTAGCAAACAAAAATATACAAAGACTGAATCCTTCCCTAGGCAAAAGCCACTGGAAGTCTTTAAAAAAAATTAATTTTCCAGCTACAAATTGTTATCTTTAGGATAACACTTTAGGATTCAAAACTTTTGTAAAAAAATTTAAACATTTACACTTAAACTTTACCATTGGGACTACAAAACATACCTCTCCAATACTGCACAGTAATTGGTCTTCCATACAAACAGATTCCATCCAGCAGAGCTTTTGCATAAGGCACTGATACTTTGTGTTTAAAGCAGACATAGCCAAAAGACTTAGGTTTTCCTTCTTTGTCCTCACAAATCTTCACTTTGGTTAATGGTCCAGCCTGAAAGAAATTTCTATTGTTTAGCAGAAACTGACTCTTCATTGTGTTTTGAATATTTAATTATTTCTCTTTAGCCATAGTCAGAAACCATAAGTTTCTTACTTTGAAAATGTCTCTCCACATTCCCAAAGCTCAAATTCTGAGCCTTCTACAAACAAAAATCAGCTCCAGAAATGTTAAAAGGGAACCAAGCATCAATTCATGTTTAATCTTTCATAACCAGAATTTTTATTATTTTTAGAATACCACACCATAATAATTAGTTTCCCAAAGGGGAAGAATGATTTACTGACTCCATAGCAAAAGTTACCCTCCAGTTCATAAATAAAAGTATTAATAGTTTAGAAGCAGCAGTAGATACTTGCTCATCATTTGATGGAGGGGAAGAGCAAGAGGTCAGGGATGCATGTTCAGGACTATGCCATAGCAGGAATATGGATATTTTCAATGACAGGGCAAGACTACAATGAGAAACATAGGCTGTTGCAGCAAAAGGGAATGAAAACAGATAAAACAAGGGAAAAAGACAAGTTACTGGGATGACCTAAAGACCCAGATAAAAGCTGGCAGCTGGATGGCTGCTGTAGATTATGCAGAAGAATAATGCAAAACTGTGTTCTAAGACCATCTTTATCACTTTTACATTTGTCTTGTATTACTCATGTCCTCTAATAAGACAAACTTCTTAAGCTCACATTTACAGTTCACAGTTATACAGCAGACTACTGTTTAATCTTGAAAGCAGGCAGGAATTAAGCTTGGGCTTCAAACAGGTTCAACTCCTTTGTGTTTCTACACTGTCACTGAAAGGAGGGGGTTTGAAGGGACCTCTGGAGAGCGTGTCGTCCAGCTTTCCTAACTGAACATCCCACTGGTCGAATTTTTCTTCTCGAGCACTAGAAAAGCATTTCAATATATAAGGGTACCCATCTGCTACCTGCAGGAAGAGCTCATACAGGATCTCCTCCCTGACCCGGCTCTCCAAGTTCCCCACGAGCAGAGTCTGCTCCGCTGCCTCCGACCGCCCCAGCGACGACATGGAGCCTGTGGGAGCCCTGCGGGTGTGCGAGAAGAGCGTCCCAGCTTCAGGGAAGCTGCACTCCAGGACTCGGTGTGAGGGGCCAGGCCTGGCTCCTGGCAACACTGGAACTCGGGAGAGCAGGTGTTGCGTCTGTTTGTGACACCACCCCCAACATCTGTGACACTGTACTTAATTGTTCGGTGTGTAGTAATGATGGTAAATACAAACATGAATGTTTTCTCTTCCATTTTTGCCACTGAATATTAAGTTCCAGCAGGGCTGAATGATGCAAAACAAACTGACCAACCGTGAAAAACAATCCACCCTCCCAGACTAGAACTCCCACCATCCACTCCTGCTATTACCATTGCAATACCTCTTCTTACTGCAGAGGAGGCTGCAAACAGAGCTAGTGCTCAGCTCAGGAGGAGAGAGAGAGGGTTTTATCAAATAGAAGTCTGTGATAAATAGGTGTGATTCGTG